AGAAGTCAATGCTTGGTCGGTGTCAGACGCCGACCTGATGGATTTGGTTGTTCGGGGAGTGGCATAAGTGCTTTGCGGATGGCCGAGCTGTTACCCCATTTTCCTAACATTCAATAGGAGGAGACGTGAATAGGAAACATTCACCGCACAAGGAATGGTGTGTCAGATATGAAGATGTCCAGATGGGATTGAAAATCTTTGGCAATCATTGCTAATTCAGGTATAAATATCTCTCAGAAAAATGGACAAAGGTACGCAAATTCAAACCAGAAAAAGTCCATTAAGCAAAACCCTTTGATCTTTTACTGACTTAAGCTTCGGAGGGGAATATTCGGGCACACGTCTAGCCCCCTTTTTTTTAACCTTGTTATTCCAGGTTAGCCAATTGGGAGATCGCCACCTCACACGATTGTAGGAATCTTCTCGTGCAATTTGGCGCCGTTTGTGGGAATGAAAGCATTTCTTCCGGTAGCGATCCTCTAATGGTGAACACTAGATCTCAAGGTGAGGGAGCAGGTGTACGAGCTAGGAACGTAGAGCTCGTCTGGCTTCCAATGGTTCTGGAGCCGGGCTCATTAGGCCAATCAAACGGGGTGGGGCATTCTTCGCAAAGGACGCTCCTTATGGATCAGGGCCTTGGGAGACGTGACCTCATGGCCCATGACATCGTGGAGATAGTGGAAAAGCGGATGGGCAAGTGTATTAAGCAGCTCAAAAGGGAAAACGCCAAAGTTCAGCAACGTCTTGACGATTTTGAGCAATCAGCAACCGCGGGCGAGCATAGTCGCGGGGTCGGGGACCAGGTGCCCAACCAGAACCTATACACATCCGCCTGGCGATGGCCCCCCAGGAAGGATTGGATAAGACACTCGCCCGATGGACGTGACCGCCGAGGAGTGTTGCCAGCCTCCAAGGAAAAGTCAAAATCGGGCCAGAAGGCAGGCCTGTCCAGGTGGGACCTGCGCCGAGGGATACCCGAGAGCGTCGGAGCTGCCGAATCTCAAGCGGAGTCCATGCCCCGAAGGCCTCGAGAGGAAAGAGACACCAAGGACCCACGGGTTCCCTTCATCGGTCAACGTAACCATGAACCCGCGGTCCACTCCGACAAAGTTATCTCGTCATTCATTCGGGCTATCAGGGAGGCCGAGATGGCAAAAAAGTTTACTGTCCCACGGTTCAAAGTCTATGATGGGAAAACCGACCCCGAGAGCCACCTTCGGCAGTACAAGCAATTGATGTCAATCTACGAAGCTGACCAAAGGGTGTTGTGCCAAGTTTTTTCCATGAGCTTAGGGGACATCGGTATGAGGTGGTATGAGAGCCTTGCTCCCAAGAGTGTTGGGTCTTGGAGGCAACTGACAAAGCTCTTCCTGGCTCGATTCATCACCAGTAGTAAAAAATCAAAGGACATCGGCGCTCTGTTGATGCTCAGGCGAAAAGAGGGAGAGACACTCCGACAATATGCTGTCCGATATTAGGATGAGGTGAATGAGGTGGAGGCATGTTCGGAGGCATTAGCTGCGGCGTTATTTAGGCTGGGGCTGGCCCGAGACACTAACTTATACAAATCGCTGACCAAAAAGGCCCCGACGGACATGAAAGACTTGATGGCTCGAATTAACAAATATGTCCGAGTGGAAGAAGAGTCCGCTGCGCCCGAAAGTAGGGCCACAGTTCCGAGAAAAAGGGATAGGGAGCAGCCATCCCAAAGGAGAGGGCCTATTCCAACCCCAACTCGTCTATCCTTCCAGGGAGTGAACACGGTATTCAACGAGCCCATTCATAGGATACTCCCCAAGATAAAAAACAGACCTTATTTCAGGTGGCCCTCGAGGATGTTTGGAGACCCGTCGACAAGGAATGCAGCCTTCTGATGTTCGTATCATAGAGATGTCAGCCATTTGACAGAGGATTGCAAGACTTATAAATCCTTCCTCGAACAATTGGTACGAGACGGACACCTCGGGGAATTCATCGATAAGGCCCGTCCCGGTGGGTCAACGAGGGAGCGAGTCGAGGTGCCAGCTGAGGTAGCATCCGTGATTAACGTTATCCATGCCTGCACAGTGGAGAGGCCAACATACAACTCCCTCCGCACCGAGTTACAAAAGGTTGCTCAAGCGGTTAGGGTGGATGAAAGGGGGGATGAGCGGCCGCCCAAAAGACCACAGAATGGTGCCGAGGTTATCCAGCTTTCAGATACCGACCTCAGCGGTATTGTCGTTCCTCACGAGAATGCATTAGTGATCACGTTGCGGATTGGGAAGTTCGACGTTAAGAGGATATTGGTGGACTCAGGC